GCTGCATCGATGGCGTGACATCAGAGATCGATGAAACAACAGCTGTTCAAGGTATTCAAGGTATATTCAGTCGCAATAAAAAGAACATCGCGGAAAAGCAAAGAGCAAACCTTTGGTCCAAATAGTTCGGGTCGTCCGCGGTACCACCAAGCAAACCAGCTGCGCTGTTTCACCAACAGTTTTTGTAGAATTTTCCGGTCCTTGTAAGATCAAATTGATTTGCTGATTGAGTCGATTATCTACATATAAATTCATCGCGCGACCGCGTTCCAAGCCATTTCCGTACACTTCGGCTTCATCCATTGCTGGTCTTGAAATACACTGCAACACGCAACAACTCTGTACTTCGTATCAAAAACACATTGGAATCAGCGGCAAATAAGTGGTTTAGCAATACACTACCCTTTTTAGGCTTACGGTTTCGCGCCTTAGGAACTTTCGGAAGTGCGGTCCTAAGCAGTGCAGAAGAGTGAACAAGCAACGAGGGGCATGTAGCAGTTGACGCAAATACTATGTGAAATCTCGCAAAGGAATCTGAGGATGATTGGCTCGAAAGACAATACTAAAGCAGGGCTTTTTGAGACAATGAAACTACACTTGTGAATCGTCGCCGGTAAGGATAAAACGCTTCCCAGCAAACCGTCTAGTCCAGCGAATGCGCAAATACACAAGATGGGTGTGAAACAGTTGACAGACCTGGACACTACCAGATAATGCAACGTTCGATGTCAACGTTGCATTAATCGGATTTGTGAAGAAATTTGTATGTGGCGGTACACCAAGCTGATCCATAGCATCAATCAACGCTAGTCCATTCATATAAACCATCGGGATTTCGTAATGTAAATTTAAAGCCAAACAGCTCAGCTAAAATACATTCGCTTTAATTACAAATTCTCAGGACATCATCCACTCTGTTCACTATTTCCAGCAGAACGCCAACGCATCCTGTAGTGCATTCCAGAGATACTGCGGTGCATTCACATGGTGGGCGCACATATTCAAAATCTCCTTATTTTGAGTACACGATACGTTTCAGTCCGCGGTACCTTCAGAAAGAAAGCAAGCGCTCAAAGATCTTCGGTGCAATGGTGTATATCTGAAGCGGACACTGCGAAAGACAGAATGAGGCAAGTAGCTCCGGAAAGGAGCGCAGCTGCACTCGACGTATCCCAGGAATATCGATGACTTGCACTAATATATCGGAAGCTCCTGGCAGAAAAACGACGAGAACTTGCCCTCCAACTTTTGTCGGCAGTAATTTGTCCCAGCATAAGCTGTACATCCGTTGGTGCATGCACACGTAAGTTATAATAAACTTTTGGGTATTCATCAACAACACCGCGCGAAAACAGCGCTGAACTTTCACATATATAGATGCCTGTATCCGCCTCGTTCACTTGCTGAATTCGTAAATTGCCAAAAATCTGACGAAATCTCGCCTTCTCGCTACTCAGCGATATTTCTGTTTTTCCAGAATGTAACTAAAACAAAAGCATGAACAGCGACTGAGTTTCATAAACTTGCTGCTGCATATCTAATGCGATTTCATTCAAAAATCAGAGAATTCTAAACGCAATTCAGACAACGGTAGGCGAAATTTTCATCAGATTTTGCTTTGATCTTTGGATCTTTGGATTTCATCGTAGCGTACATTCGCGATACCGCCATCACCCCTCAACTGCCGGTTGGATCAACCTGCATTACCTGATAGACGGCCTTCTTTCTGACCATTCCGGTTTCTGTCCCTTGGCCTTTTCATTCGCTCCTCCAAAGAAAAACTTTTGATGTATTTCACTAATGCAAATAAATTCAAAAGCCAATAAGTAGCGGCGCATACCAGAGTAGCCGGTGTAATCATGCGTTTTGCACAGATCCGTTCAAAGAACTTTTGTCTGCTAAGGATTTTCACTGTTTTGCACTTTGGTCTATGCAAAAATAGTTGAAATGTTGCCTGATTCCTAAGTTGCGAAATTTTTCACTAAAAAGTTAACGTAGCACGAAAGCTGAATTTGCAACCCTGGATGATGGATATCCTTCCAAAATGTCAAACTCCCAGTTTTCTGGCTTTCGAGTAATTTTCGTGCCAAAACCTTCACTTGGTCGTGCCTGAGACTTCGGCATACTCGGGGAACTAAATTTGAGTTTTGTGATGCCCCTGCACAGACAGAAAACATCCTTTTGAAAATTTCAGCCTCCCGGCTTTCGTGGTTTCCAAGACAATAATCTTCCCCGCCAAAATTTTCACGAGGCCATACATAATACCTAGGCGTGCGGGTAGGCTACATTTAAATTTGCGCAGTCACACGTAGGGAGGGGATACTGCTGTAAAATTCCAGTTTCTGGCTTTTATGGTTCTTAATATAATTTCTCCACCAAAATTTTCACGGGACCGTACGTGGCACTAGGGGATGCAAGACTGAATTTAACTTCGTGGGGTCGTACTTGAGCGGGGAATATTCTACTAAAATTTCACCTTCCTAGCTTTTATGATTTCCGAGTTGAAAGTTGCGAAAAAATGCATCGGCCACACAGACACACACACACACACACAAGCAAACACATCACGCACAGAAAACCCCGTGACAATATGCGTTTTGTGAAGCTGTTGCATTGCACAAAACGCATGAAAACCACTTACAAGATATTCAAAGTGCTGTAATTTGGTTAATTTACGTCCCGTTCCTCCTCCCTGGCTCCTCATCCTCCAGTACATTGAAGGTTATAGAGCAGTTCATGTATCTGGACCGGCATAATAATTTTTGACAAATCCTGTAAACTAAAACAAACTGCGCAATTGAAAATTACCCTTGTCCAGACGATTTTTGCTGATGTTACAATGCACTCCAAAAGTACTGTTTGTCCCTTAACAACGTCAACAACTATGGATTCGGAAGCGGTTGACCGTGTTTCTGGATATACAAGCACAGGCTCGATGTTGTTGTATCTTTTCGCTAATACCTGTAGCAAATTTACGAATATGATTTCATCTCGTTAGGCATACCTTTTTTCCGCTCTCACGATTACAGCACTTGTTCGACTCATGTACAGTTCGAAACATTACTTCTGATCGATTTAGCTTGCAAGTGCTTGTTACACATCTGTCGGAGGGAATACGCAGTGAAATAGTTCAGTCACTTCCAACACGGAGCAAAAAGATCGTTTGCAGGCCAAAAAATTTAGCTGATGAACCATATTGGACATCGGGTGGCCGTTCTTTCAGAAAATTGTTTGTCTGCACACTCATTGAGAAAGATCACGGTAACGTCAAAATTGCGAGTTATAAGTGAAGAATGGTCAAGACTGTGCACACCTCCAGCGTGACGGCATTTGGTGATTTTCGGGACTGATTTGTGAATGTGTTCCGTACGACGCAATAATATTTTCCAGAATCAGATAGCTTTGCCAGAGGTATCTGCATACCAGACCACGTCGCCAAATATCTTTCATCACCTTCAAATGACGAAATACAATAATGCTTCATTTACGGCAATCCAGAATGTCGTGTCCACTCATTTAGCTACATCATTCCAAACATGCCAACGAAAATTTTTGGTCAGTAGAAACAAAAACATTAATTCAAAAGAGCTGTCCTTGCTTCATTACAGCCAAAGATGCTATCATTTTTTTGGTGAAAACGACTTTAAAAATGACAAAATACGCAGAAAAAAGGTATCACTAAGAATACCTGGTAATCCCAGAAGTCTCTCCTGACCTTCCTTTTGGAATGTAATTTCTGGAGGACTAGGAATTACGTCTGGCAGCCCCGAACACGGTAAACGAGCAATCTGACCTTGGAGTACCGTCACATTCTGAAAAACTCGACGTATATGCCAGCTTGCATTACAGCGAGCTCAAATCTGTTTTTTATCTGGGAGCTCAGATCTAATCAGTGCATTCCCGCAGTCCGAAAGTATCCGATTTTTTTCCTGCAACACAGGGCACGCCACTGCTACAAGCTGCTTACAAAAGTAGAAAAATTTTACAGAAGAAAAATCTAAACTGCGAAGTGCAAAGCATGCGCTTTTTGCACTGTCTTTCCTGCGGATGTTTGTCGCTAAGTAGCGTTGTTTTTTCCGGCAGGTAATTCCAGCTAGACAAACAGAGAATGGTCATCACACTGTCACGATTATCACAAGGATTTCCATCAAACAGGATTGTGGACATGCTCAGAAAATTTTAGCAATGAGGGGAAACATGAATGTTGTTTCTATTTGCGCCTGGTCCAAACGCAGTCATAGGCTATGTAATCAAAAAATTTCAGCACTCTGGCTGCTTTGGTTTTAGGGATGCGTCAAATTTTACACGTTCGTATGTGGCAGAAGTAAGTCAATACTGTTTTCACATGCCCTTGCCCAAACATAGCCGTGGGCCACGCTCGAAAAATTTTAGCACCCCAGCTGATTTTGTTGCCGAGCTACGTCAGATTTCATACGCTCACAGGTAAAGAGGAAAACGCATCTGCTCAAATACGGATTTTTAAACAATTTCATCACTCTAGCTGCTTTAATTGCGAAGTCACGTCAAAATTCGCGTGCTCGTTCTCTTGCGTGAAGAAAACGCGATTTTTTTTTTACATATGTCCGTCCAAACACGGTCCTGAGCCATGCTCCGAAAATTTCAACACTCTAGATACTCCGGTTGCGGAATCACGTTAAATTCCGTGTGTTCGCGCGTAGAAGGCACGTGTGAAACAAAAGGAACGTGAAAGTTGTTTTCATCTTCACGTGCCCAAATACAGTTGTTAGCCATGCTCTGAAAATTCTAGCCCCCTAACTGCCTTGGTTACGAAGTCACAAAATCACCTGCATCGAGTTTTACGAGCCCGTACGTGGGATGCATTGGGCCGCGAAAGCCTAATTTACTTTAAGCTTTCTAGCTTTTCTGGTTCTCGAGTTAAAAATGGGTTACAAAAAATGCGAACACACAGGCACACACACACACACACACACACACACATGCCGAATTCGTCACAATATGCGTTTTTGTATTTACATATGAACAACCCAGGCTAAAACGCACCAGGCTCTCCGGTGCGATCATGTGTTTTTGCACTAAACTCGCAGATCGCTATTAGTAAAAATGATCCTTACGCTGCAGCCTAACATTTGGGCTCATACTGGCCGCGCTTTGGGCCCTTCCGGCATGCAGGAGGAAGGGCGTCAGTTGGGATGAAGGTGGTGCACTACAGAGCCGCACGGACATCCAGGTGCATGATTACCGGTTTTTCGAATGAAGCCCGGTCGCTCTTTCGGTAAATGTTTGCTTTGTGAAAAAATGACAAATGAAAATTTTTTGAAAAAATACAAATTTCCAGTTAACTAAAAAGTGGAAGTATTGCTCGAGCGGTTGTTTGTCAAAAAATCCACGCTCATTTACATGTACGATTGCGGTTAAAGTCCGAGCTGCGAACGATTTTTTCGAAAATATGCAAATTTTCAATTCATTAAAAATTGGAAGTATTGCTCGAACGGTCGTTTTTCAAAAAATCCATGTTCATTTGCATAT